CTTTTCTTGACTTTTTACAGCAGTGATGGTTGTGGTGGTGTGCCCTGCATAGGGCTTCCAAGGCTGTAAATCTTTACCGGAGCAGAAAGCCTCATCTTTCTCCCTGAAAGACTGGTAGTTTCAAACAGCTGATGTTGAGATTAGCAGCCCGACTGGTAAACACTACGCTACCAGAGCTCCTTTTTACAGAAGTTGTTGTTGTGAAGTGTTGTCGAGTCGATTCCGACCCATAGCAACCCCGTATAGGGTTTCCGAGGAGCAGCAGGTGAGCTTGAACCGCCGATCTTGCAGTTCAAAAGGGTTTGCAGTCTGGCGCATTAACCCACAGCGCCACACCAGGACTCCTTTTTACAGCAGTAGTCTCATATAATATCAGTCCTTTTGACATCAGCTGGTTTCACTTAGAGTAATATCCTCCAGGTTCCTCTATGTTATGCGGTATTTGCAGAGTTTTGGGCATTTTTCATTGTAGCATAATACTCCATTGCGTGTATGTACCAACGTTTGTTCAACCATTCCTCCGCAGATGGACATCTGATGGGTGGTTTTTCTTCTGGATTATCAATTCTATTCCATTGATCTATAGGTCTTTCATTGTACCAGTGCCAGGCTGTTTTGATGACTGTGGTTGTGTAGTAAGTTTTGTGATCAGGAAGTAAGAGGCCTCCTGTTTTGTTCTTTTGAAAATAATGCTTTGCTTATCCAGTGACTCTTTCCTTTCCATATGAAGTTGGTGATTTGAAGAATGTTGTTGGAGCCTGGGTTGGGATTGCATTATATGTATAGGTTGTTTTGGGTAATATTGACATTTTCACAATGTTAAGTCTTCCTATTCACGAGCATGGTATACTCTTTCATTTTTGTATCTCTCTCTTGGTTTTCTGTAGTAGTGTTTTGTAGTTTTCTTTGTACAGGTCTTTTGTCTCTCTGGTTAGGTTTATTCCTAAGTATGTGGTGCTGTAGCATAAGCACTGGACTGCTAACCACAAGGTCAGTGGCACAAACCCACCAGCTGCTCCTTGGAAACCCTATACAGGGTCATTATGAGTCAGAATCGACTCAACAGCCCTTACCACCACCACCACCACCACCACCATTTCATCTTTTGGGTGGTTATTGCCAATGGTACTGTTTTCCTGATGTCCTTTTCAGAGCTCTCATTTTTAGTATAAATGAATCTAACTGAATTTTTTATGTTGATCTTGTACCTTGCTACTTTGCTGAATCATTCAGTGAATTCCAATAATTTTTTTTGCTGAGTCTTTGGGAATTTCTAAGTATAGGATCATGTCATCTACAAATAGAGTTTTACTTCTTCTTTGCCAATTTGGATGCCTTTTAAAAAAAAACAACTTTTTATTATGAATTAAGTGAAGGTTTACAGATAAGATCATCAGTTTTACTCAACAAATCATATACTTTGTTTCATCTCAATGATTGCAATCCCTTCCTTCCAACAATAGTTCTCCCACTTCCTCCCTGTGACTCATTTCCATTCCACCCTCTTTCCCATTCCTTCTCAAATTTGTCCTTAGGTAAATATGCTCTTTTGATTTTGAATGATTGACTATTTCATTGGTGAGCATACCTTATTAGTGTTTTAGCTCCCTTATGCGTAGATCTACTGCTTGGCTGAACATTGGGCCCCCAGGGTGAGTTCTATTCCAGACCAGAAGTGTGGTTGAGGTTCCTCCATTCTCTTTCTAACCAGTAAGCCTGGTCTTTTCTTTTCTTTTTTATAATTTTGAGTTTTGTTCCACGCTTTTCTTTCACTCTATCTGGCCTTCTAATGTGGTCCTTTTCATAGCAGTTGGTAGTGATAGTCAGGCACTGTCTAGTTCTTCTGGTCTTAGAGCTGTGGAGACTGATATTCACATGTTCCATTAGTCCATTGGACTCATTGCTTTGGATGCCTTTAATTTCCCTTTCTTGTCCTATAGCACTGGCAAAGACTTCCAGCACAATATTGAATGTTGTTGTTGTTAAATGCTGTCGAGTCGATTCCAACCCATAGCAACCGTGTAGAGGGTTTCCAAGGAG